CCACAGTCTGCTACAGCTCAGCTTACATCTCTGAAATATCTTAATAAAAAAATAATAAGCCTGAATGCAATCATATGCTAAAGTGTGAACCAGGAACACATCGATACAGATACTGGTATTGGGTATCGGCCCAACAACATGCCCAATTACTCATACTCGTAAAAATGCACTGATAACAACAACTGATACCACCTAATTTCATGTTACCTAAGCGAAGTGTACACGTTGCTGAACAATAGCCACGTTTACATGCAGCTTGATAATCCGTTAATAATCCGACTAATAGCTCAATCGGAATAGAATATGTCCATGTAAACACCTCAATCGGAATAGTCTAATCCGATTGAGGCCATTCGGAATACAATTTCTATCCGATTAAACGAGGTGGGTAAACTTATAAATAATCCGTTAAATAGAAGAATAATAGCCATGTAAACGCCTGAATCCGATTACATTCCAATCGGAACGTGTAAGTATGTTCTGCGCATGTGCGTCGCGTCACGGCCAAAGTTTACACCGCTCAACATGGCGGAGCAGAAACTGGTCTGGACCTCACGTGATGTTCGCTGTCATGGTAACGTTTACTCTAAGCGCTACTCCACGCATGCGCGTCATTTTGCATCGGATTACTTGTAGTGACCATGTAAACGAAGATTTTCCATCAGATTGTTGAATAGAGTGCATATAAACACCTCAGTCTAAATCTGTAATCGGATTGTATTCAATCGGATTGGCAAAAATCGTTGCATGTAAACATAGCCAATGTCTGTCAGACAAAGCTGTCTTTGTCACGTTAAGCATTCCATCACAACCACTACCCCTAATACGGGTGGAGATGCGTGAGCCAGCAAAACGAAAGTGAGAAAGTTGACATTTGTGGTACCAAAATCCGTATATGCCTACTTCACTCTGTTTGACTGAATAGAATTCCAAGGAATAAATGATAATTCATTGATTTTTTTAACTGTCTTTGTAAAATATGCATAAGTTAGTAGCGCTGCTATAGCTTTATTGGTAAATGTCCATAGACAGAGTTGTTTGTAGGGGCTGCAATTCACGTAGCATGTCAATTGGATCCAGTCTTTACGTACAGTAGCCACGTTTACATGCAGCCTAATAATCCGTTAATAATCCGACTAATAGCTCAATTGGAATATACGTCCATGTATGTAATAGTCTAGTCCGATTAAGGCCATTCGGAATACAATTCTACCCAATTGAACGAGGTGGGTAATCCTGTAAATAATCTGTTAAATAGGAGAATAATAGCCATGTAAAATAATGTATCAGATTACATTTCCAATCGGAACGTGCAAGTACATTCTGCGCATGTGTGTCGCATCATAGCGAAAGTTTATAACGTTCAACATGGCGGGAGCAGAAACTGGTCTGCAGAGGAAAGTTTACACGCTTTAAAAGACGGTGGTGGGACAGACTTCCATCTTATGTGTCTCAGAACACGACGTTTTCCTCTTGCTGCTTCCTTAATAAGTACATGTGAGGTACTTTTTCTGAATCTGACATATTTTTAAAGCAATTAAAAACACAAACGCACCAACTGAAAACTCATCTCACTCTGACTGGACCTCACGTGATGTTTGCTGTCATGGTAACGTTTACTCTAAGTGGTACTCCACGCATTTAGGATCGGATTACTTGTAGCGCGCATGTAAATGAAGATTTTCTATCATATTGTTGAATAGAGTGGGCATATAAACACCTCAGTCTTAATCTGTAATCGGAATGTATTCAATCGGATTGGCAAAAATCTTTGCCTGTAAACACAGCCATTGTGAGCATATAAATCATAGGCTTTGTCTGTACATGATGGCCTCTGCAAACACACAGTGTGAGTCACTGAAGAACAAGATTTCTAAAATCGCACAGTGTGTTCTGGCTTTAGAGGACATTCAACTACAGCTCAACCAGCCAAACTCCAACAAGACATACAATATGACAAGTGAGCTCCTCGAATTAGCCTCGGATGTGATTCCTGCTGTCACTGTGCTACTGAGACTATTGTTAAAAAAGACAGATGAAGAGTTTAGGATCAAAACTATAAAGCATACTTACAGTTTCACAGAAGTGCTTTTCTGACAACCACCGCAACACTACTCAATTCAAGGTTATTAATGTTGCATAGCTAGTTAATGCACATTATTTCAAATTTGCCAAATTTGAATGATTTGGGATACTTTTACAATTTTGCCAGAAATAACCAATTCTGTCAATAATAAACTCCTCTCTTAGCCTTGGATACATCCCAAAAACTCTTAAACTAGCAGTAATTAGACCGCTGATTAAGAAAGCTAACTTTGATCCCTGCTAACTATCAAATTGTAGACCTATTATCAGTAAACACGGCATAAATTTCCACTGTTATGCCGATGACATTATATACAGTGGCAAGAAAAAGTATGTGGACCTTTTGGAATTTTATGGTTTTCTGCATTAATTTGTCATAAAATGTGATCGGATCCTCATCCAAGTCAAGTGTATTGACAAATATAATGTGCCTAAAATAATAACACAAAAAAAATATGATCTTGCAGGTCTTTATTGCAAACACTCATTCAACATTCAAAGTGGTAGTGGAAAAAGTAAGTGAACCCTTGGAATTAATAGCTGGTTGACCCCCCCTTGGCAGCAATAACCTCAACCAGGTGCTTCCTGTAGCTGTGGATGAGACCTGCACTTTGTTCAGGAGGAATTTTAGCCCATTCTTCCTGGCAGAACTGCTTTAGCTCTGTCATGTTCCTTGGACGCCTCATGTGTATGGCTCCCTTCAAGTCAATCCATAGCATTTCTATAGAGTTGAGATCTGGGCTCTGACCAAAAGTGTCCAGTGTTTTGGGTCATTGTCCTACAGAGTTTCAGCTGACGTACAGACACTCTCACTTTATCCTGTAGAATTTTTTGATACACTTGGGAATTCATCTTCCCCTCAATAATTGTAAGCTGGCCAGGCCCTGATTCAACAAAGCAGGCCCAAATCATGATGTTCCCTCCACCATACTTTACAGTTATTTTCATCGTGATGTGCAGTGCCTTTTTTACGCTAGATGTAGCACTGCGTGTTCTTTCCAAATAGTACAATCTTAGTTTTATCTGTCCACAAAACATTTTGCCAGTACCATTGTGGAGTGTCAGTGTGCTCTTTTGCAAACTTCAGGCATGCAGCAATGTTCTTTTTTAGTAAGCAGCGGCTTCCTTCATGGTGTCCTGCCATAGACACCCTGCTTGTTCAAGGTTTTACGGACTGTAGACTCATGAACACAGATGTCAGCCTGCACCAATGACGCCTTCAAATCTTTGGCTGGGTTGTTTCTTTACCTCATTGATGAGTCTCCGTTGTGCTCTTGGGGTCATTTTGACTGGGCGCCCACTTCTTGGCAGAGTAGCCACAGTCCCAAATTGTCTCCATTTGTAGATTGTTTGCCTTACTGTAGACTGGTGAATTTCTAAAGTCTTTGAAATCACTTTGTAACCCTTTCCAGCTTTATATAAATCAACAGTTTTTGATCGTAGATCCTCTGAAAGCTCTTTTTGGTGAGGCATGGCTCACATACGTGTATCCTTCTTGTGCAGAGCAAAAAAAGTTTGAGTGGTTTTTATCAGTCAAAGTAGCTCTAGTCCACACCTCCAAACTCATTTTCTTAACAAGACTCCAGGTATGCTAACACTTGACTCCATGAATGATCAGAATTTTTCTGTGTTATTATTTTAGGCACATTATATTTGTCAATACGCTTGACTTGGATGAGGATTAGATCACATTTTATGTCAAATTAATGCAGAAAAACATAAAATACCAAAAGGTTCACATACTTTTTCCTTGCCACTGTATATCAAGCGAACCGGATGATAAAATTAAACTTAGCAAGATTGAGGACTGTATAAAAGACATTACTTCAAGGTTAGATTACTGTAATGCCCTGCTGTCTGGATGTTCCAGCAAAAGCCTTAACAAGCTTCAGCTAGTCCAGAACACTGCAGCCAGAGTCCTCACAAGAACCAGAAGGTTTGACCATATCAGACCAGTTTTATCAAAACTACACTGGTTGCCAGTTAAATTTCGCATTGATCATAAAATTCTCTTACTGACCTATAAAGCTCTAAACGGACTCGCCCCTCAGTACCTGAGTGAACTTCTCTCCTACTATGAACCATCGCGCCTACCTAGATCACAGGGTGCTGCTTACTATTAGTACCCAGAATTAATAAAGTTACATCAGGGGGGAGAGGCTTCTCATACAAAGCCCCCCAGCTTCGGAATAATCTTCCTGTCAATGTTTGGGACACAGCCTCAGTCTTAAGTCTAGGCTAAAAACCTACTTGTATAGTCAAGCCTTTGGTAATTAGTTTTCCCCGTCAGATCTAGACCTGCTGGAGTCTGTGCTGCTCTGTTAATACTGTAATCTGTGATCAGTCACTCATCACAGAACTGACTCTCTGTGTGTTTTCCTTTCTTTGCCAAGTTGAACAGCTGCCCATTCTGTGCGTCTGATGCTGTTGCTTCTTCTACCTTGATCGGGTGCCCACTGCTCGCCAGCCCTCTGGACCACCATTGAGCTTCATGCTGTACAACTAATCAAATTAACCATTGCTCCACCTGTTTTCCCCGTTTTGTACTATAATAATTTTTCCTTGCCACTGTCGCCACTGGCTTGTTCGTGGGGGCTTGCACCTGGATTTTTCTGTAAAGCTGCTTTGTGACAACACCTGTTGTAAAAACGGCTATATAAATATACTTTGCTTGCTTGCATTGCACTCACCTACACGAACAACTCCTAGATTATAAATAGCTTACTCATTATGGTATTGGAATCAGTATAGGCAAGTGCATAAACATATGAACTTCCGCTCTGTCTGAAAAGTGGTATCAATGCAATGCTAATTTGAACACCCATGGTTAGAGAGAAAATAGACTATATGACCGAATGTGTGTGGACACCCCTCCAAATTATTGAGTGCGTACCAATCGGGAGGCAGCTGTCTAAGTAGGCAGCATTCTAAGGCAGCATTTGTGCGCTCCCGAGACAAGTGATGTCCCATTCGGAAGGCAGCATAAGTCAGCTGCCTTCTAAGGTGCCTTATTTTGACCAAATCTGAAGGCAGCATCGCATGTGTCCTTGTCGGTGAAGGCATTCCCACAATACTGTTCACCGGCCGAGAATTCCATCGCTCCGGTCTGATAAACATGGCGGACGAGGCGGCCGTTTTTTGCCGACCGAGGAGTTTACAATGTAAGTTATTTCTTCACTTCTTTTTTTACTGTTTTGATTAATTGTTGTATTTGTGGAAGGTATTGAACATATGTCTTTGTGGATCTCTAGAAATTGTTCTTGTGGTGAAATTCTGCCAGTTCGCGTGTTTAAGGCGAATTGACAGGCTGCGTTTGTAGCCCGTTAGCTCGGTAAAGCCAGCGGTAGTTAGCTTAGCTGGCGGGCTAACTGTGTAAACGCGCCGGCTCTTCAAAACGAGAAAGTCCGGTTTAAAATTTTGGATGTTCACTGTTTAGTAGCGTTTAGTTTCGTCAGTACTTAGGGATGTTTTTCTGTCCTCAGGAACGAACGTTACAGCGGCGGGGAGCTGCTGTCTGAGGGGCTGAGGAAGAGGAGCGGTCACAGGGAGAAAACTGCGCTGAATGACCGAAAGCAGCTCACTGGCCGAGGGTATTTTGGGGGAAACACAGCGGGACCAGCGCTACAGACTGACGTTCTTCCTGAACGATGAAAAGTAGTTTAACTTATGTAGAAGTTCAGAAATAAAATAAATACTACAGATGCTTATTTTTGCTGCCTCGCTTGTCTTGTATTGCTGTACTTACCACAGTCACAGATTAATTCTCCTATTCTTAATTTTAGAATAGGAGCCCATAAATCAGATGAGAATGTATAACATAAAATGCATATTAGCTGCTTAACAGATTGCGTGGGATCCCTTTTTCTGAGTGCATTTTGTACAAAATTATACGTAACCTAACATTACTGTTTATCCTTTGTGTGTTAGAAATAAAGCAGGTTCATTAAGGTGGATGAGGACGGAATGAATTTAATTGATTTAAAAACTAATAGTCACGATTATCTGTATTTATCTGGGCTGCTGAGTTGAGAATATAACGATAGATATGACTTCTTAAATCAGCCTGTTCTTCATACACAAATTTCCACAACAGGAAAACAGCTGCTGCAGATTCAGAGCCGTCCTTTTACACCGAGATGATCCCCCTTTAGTTGGAGGTGAGTGTAAACTAACGAGCGACTTTGAGTAAACAGATAAACGTGAACAGCGCAGTAAAAGTTATGACGTATGATGGCTGTGAAGCGCTGAAGGTTCCTTTTCGGTTAAAATGCTGCCCAACAAGAGAGCTGCCTTTGAAGGCAGTGACTAGTTAGGCAGCTACCTTCAGAATGGAACACACCCAGTGCCACTTCTTGGATTACAAATAATCTCTAATGTCAGTCTCTCACCCTCCTCTCACCTTCGTCGGCAGAAAGCGGTGGTTAATGCCAGCTAGCTGCCCATTACTGTTAACAGCCCTGACGATCACACGGTGATTTCCTGCATGCATCACGATTAGCACTGCCCTCTGTTCAGAACACGTGTTATTGGTGAATCAATGCCAAAAAGCTAGTTCCCTCGTCCTAACCCTTTCTCTGACCCTTTCTTCCTTGCATGTTGGTAGGTTGATAAATTCACTTTCTAATGAAGCAGCACTGACGGTTTGCTTTTTGTTGACTTATTTCTTTGGGATTTTTGGGATTATTTATAGTATTTGCTTGTTGTACTGCATGGAAGCCTGTTTTGGCCATCCGCATTGCTAAAAGGTGGATAAAATCAAGCACATAGCCATGCAGCCTCCATAGACAGTACAATGGATTGTACTGAAGAGCTCAGTGACTTTAAACGTAGCACTGTCATAAGATGCCACGAATCATTTTGTGAAATTTCCATCCTGCTATTTCTGCCCTGGTTAACTGTAAGTGCCATTATTGTGAAACAGAAGCATCGAACAGCAAAAACAACTCACAGAAAGGGGCCACCAAATACAGAAATGTGTAGTGTGTCTATTGCATCACTCACTGAGTTCCTAACAGCCTCTGAAAGCAACATCAGCATATGTGCATTGTGAACTTCATGAAATGGATTTTCATGATCAAGCAGCTGCATACAGGCCTAAGATCACTGTCCACAATGCCAAGCATCAGCTGAAGTGATGTAAAACTCTCTAGTGGGCCACACAGAGCTCTGACCTCAACACCAATGAATACACCTTGATTTGTAATGATATATCAGCAACTGTATATGTGGATTATCTAATTTGCATATAATTTGCAAATGTATAACTGCTTTGTCCAAGTCTGTGTTAGATGGGGAAGACACCAGCGGGTGCTCTCACTCCCACCACTTGCTCACTCTAACAGTTTTAGCCTGCTGATTTTCTTTAAGCCTTTATATTGGTTAAGCCTTTGCATATGTCATATGTGTTTATGTGAACATGTTAACCTCTGAGACTATTATTCAATGATACTTTATTTGGATTTGTCCTTTTTATATGAAACAAACACTCAGTGGACTCTCAGTAACATGAAAAACAGGTTTTGGGTTGAGGTTAAGGTTAGGGTTAGGATTAGGGCCAGGGTTAGGTTTTGGGTAAGGTTAAGTTTTGCATAATGGAAGTAACATATTAACAATACATCTACTTAATGTAAGTAACGTATCAACAGAACATCTACAAGATATTTACTTCAGTGTATTCAGATGCTTCAATACTGCTGCTTCACTGATATGGTGTTGATGTGTTACTGACAATCTGTTAAGAGTTCCCTTTTTTATTTACCTGTAATTTGAAATTCAGTGTGTGGTCTTCTCTTTTTTGGGTATATCACATATCCAAAATTACAAACAGGTGTTTTTCACTTATTTCTAGATTTTTCTCTCGGTCATGCTGTAGCATGTTTCTATTAGTCCTAGCAGGACTAATTTTCAGGTTCAGATTCTTGACTCACTGTGTCACATTTGCTTTCATATCAGCTGAACCCTAAAGCATAATAGATCCACCACTATGCTAAACAGTGGCAAGATGTTCTTTTTATTAAAGGCAAACCTTTGGTGATTCCAAAATGCATGGCTAAATGCTTTGCATACCCAGACGTTGACTTCTGTGGTGAGGCCATAGATATGGTTTCTCTCTGGTGACTCTTTCAAGTAGGTCATGTTTTTGAAAGCAAAAATGCCTAGTGGAATGATACACGAGCACTTCTGTCATTGGAGGATTTCTGGTCAGCATATGAGCAGTTATATCGGAGAGTTTTTCTTGTCTTGCAGATCTTGCCTTGGCTTCCACAGTTGCCCTTAACTGCCATTTCTTAATGACATTTTGTATAGTGGAAACTGTAAGCTGGTCTTTCTTTGATATCTTTTTATAGGTTTCCCCTGCATTGTATGTGTCAATTAGCTTCATTATCAGATCCTCAGCCAGCTGATTAGAGGAGCCCGTGGTTGCTGAGTGTCAGCACAACTTATTACGCTGTGGAACTGTCATTAACTGACAAGTCCTGATGACAATTTTGACCTGCCTGTTCAAAATCAAAAACCTGTTGGAATCAGTGTTTTCAGTAACATATATCTAAATTTTTTGGTTGTAGAAACTGTAAACAGAGATTTACAGCATATGATTTATCATTTAATAAATCCCTCTTGTCCCAAAATACTCAAAATATTCATTGCAACATCTAAAGATACCTTTTGGTTTTTTAGTTTTTAACATCTAAATCTACAGTGCGTAAGCTACTGTTGTATACAGAATAACAAAAGTTATTTAAATTACTCAGACTCCAAACGTCTGAATGGCAGCGTACGTATCTATGTATGTTTTCAAAACACTTCTATTTAAAGGTTTATATTTAAAGAAAATTAAATGAAAATTCTTTCTAAGGCTACTGTCTGCATAATCTGCCTGTTCAACATTTTACTATTTACAGATGCTCGTATTGTTCTTGCCACATGAGCTGCTGCTAGTAACGGCAGAGCAATAAAATTATAACAAAGATAGGCACATAGTACATAGTCCACTTTAGCTGTTTAAACTGTGAAAACCAAATGAAAAAATTATCATATCACAAAAACCCTTTTTTGTGTGGACTTTAGAAAATTAACTGGAAATGAAAGCAGCCTGATATTTTTTTTTAGAGATGTTAGCTAGCAAAGCTTGCTAGCTGATGCTGAACCCAGAAATGACATGAAAGACAGTGGCCTAGTTGCATTTTGTCATGCAGCCAGACACTTCTTTGAAACAATATTTTTGCCCCACCACTTTTAGAGGTGTGGCGCCACCCCTGACTAATGGTATCATTCTGCTGAGCCTGGCTGCTAATGACTCACTAAAGCTTGGTGTGCTAGTTACTAAGTTTCTATTTTAGCAAATACAATTATAATACAGATACATTCAGTACAGTATATACTGATACATTCAGAACAGTATATACTGATACATTCAATAGTGTTTAGTAATACATTTAATACACTGTAAACTGACACATTCAGTACAGTGTTTACTGATACATTCAGTACAGTGTATACTAAAATACTATAAGGCATTCTGGATGTTAACTTTATGTTTAACTTAATTCTATATGTTGCACAGCTTTCTCAGTGACTAAAATGTGTTCATCATTCTGGACACATCTAATACTTTCTTCATATTTCACTACTTCCTACGAATTAGTTTAAATTTGGGAAGTGGTAGAGTAGTAGCATCATAATAGAATCATTTTATATGTGTATCTGCAACATTTTGCGTTTTGTTTTAGTAAGAACATTGAGTCCAAACCTTTGAACACTAATGTATATAAATGGCCATGTAAAGAATGAAATTGGTTTGTTTCTTGGGGACACAAGGCAGAAGAAAAATGTGGAACATGGAATTTTAAATTAATCTGGATTTGTTTGGTAGGGCTTTGGACCAGTCAGGTTGGGCCTATTCCTGGCATTATTTGTATGAATACAAATAATGGTGTCAACTTCATGAATTTTGCTTAATGGCTTACTAGGGAATCAAAGTGAAATAGGATCTAACAGTGAATTACAGTCATCAAAAATTCCCTTTCAGATGACTAAATATCAAATCTATTAAATACAAAGTGTTCTTAAATGTGGCTGTTGACTAATGGATTGTAAATATTTGTCATCTGTACTGTTGACTATAGTTTTGATGAAAATCTTTCTCAGAATCAGCATTCTTAAACCAAACCTCAAGCGCTGTCTAGCGAAACTGAACATGAGACTGCAGACATATGATGATATCCATGTATGCAATAAAGCTGTCATTTTGGTTTTGTTTTGACCATTTGTGGTTTATGTAGTACTGTTTGGATTGTGATGTGATTTACGGTAGCAGATAAAAGTATTAAATTATTCAAATATATTAGTCCTGTCTGACTTTATAATATAATTACATATAATTAACAGAAAGCTCTAAAAAAAGTACAAACATTAGATGTAGCTGAAGAGGATTCAAAAATGACAATGAAATTATAATTAAATTTATATCTTTAATGCCTTGTGTCTCAGGGCATACAAAAAAATCCTATTAACAGATCATCTATTGTTTATCAATCAATAATGACTTCTTGTTGCCAATATACTTGAAATGTGATGGGGAAAAGCCACTAATAAGCCCACGTACTTTGTGTGGGCGCGAGCGGCGGCGCTAGTCCCCTTATAAGCTCAAACTATCCGACTACGCCACTCTCAATTAAGGGATGAGAGCAACCTATGAGTTAAAAAT